CATACTTAACACACAGATGTGACAGTAATATCTGTCCTTTCATTTCACTGTCAGAGAAAAAGTAAAATGTGTTCCCCAAAATGCTCCTTTAAATGGGGCTGCCTAGTGCCCCCACAGAAACTACCGTAGTTAAATGTCAGCAGAAAAAACTAACACTGATGACTGGAAAACTACAACAAAAAAGACCAGAATGGTAAAATCTGCAAACTTGCGTAAAACATTCTTAGATTTTAATTTTCGTTAGATGCACAGTAGCAATAACAGACTAAATGTTTCTCCTCATAAAAGCGGCTTCAGCTGGAAAAAGCAGGGGTTTCACCTGCAGCACAGTGTCTGTGCTTTCACCTGATTTGACTTGATAGTGACAAGAGGCACACAAAAGTAAACACAGGAACACTGGCAGAAATGTTGCCCTCAGTCAGTTCTGCATAATGAGTATGTGTTTGTCAGCAGGGATCCAGAGCACCTGCATGAGGCAGAAAGGAGAAAGCCTCACTAGCATGTCATTCTCAAAGAGCGAAACTGTGCTGCAGCCGTCACATCTGTGTAGAAGAGAAACAGGTTCACAGTGAATTAGTGGAGTTTGGCTTCCTCCCACTTTCACCTCAAGGTTGTGTGATATGACAGCACATATGTGATGACAGAAAAACATCTATTGTTTCATATCGTTATGACATAAATCCTCCACACGGCACAGATACAGGCAGGAAATTAGCATGACCTGTATGGAGAGATGAGCTTTTGGGGGCATGGCACAGCCTCGTCTCCATCTCACCTGTCTAACCTACCTAATCACTGAACCAATCTAATCACAGAAACTCACTCCAACGTTTTCAGCTCTGTCACGTCTTGTTTCGCCCCTCACACGTTTGACAGGCCCATGTGATGCTGTGGATTGGCTCAGATGTGAATCCATATTCATGAGGCAGCCACTGAGCTTTGTTCATTAGCTGGTGAACAGCTGTAAATTAGCCTACACAAACTGAGCGGTGCTTCTGTGTCAGTGGGAGGGCCTGCGTGTGTCGTTTTTATTGTCCTCTGCTGTTAGAGGTTGTTCTTTCATCCTGTTTCATGCATTTATTTTCTCACAGCTGAACAAAATGTGAAATGCAGCTACAGTCAACAAACAAACTTGGAGCATTACCCCTTGAGCTTTGCTTCACTGCTGCCAATGCCAAAGTAAAGGTTCCACTTCTACACACAGAATGTGAAATTTTGTGCATGCTCCTGCTCCCCAGAGGAAGAACTCTGGCAGTTTGGACTCTCAGTAAAGTCTTCTCAGTGCCTACATACATTAAAATGTCAGCTTTACATGCAGCATTTTTGTCAGGGCAGACTGACGTGACATTTGCTGATCCCCAGTGGATGAGCTCTTTTGATTTGTGCACATAAATAGTTTGTCTGCTCTTCATTCCATCCAACACTTACATGGTTGGCTGTGATGAATGTGCAGAGGAGGAGAGAGAGACGCACACCTTAGCTGTCGCTCTTCTCTACGACCTCGTCTCTCTGGGTTTTACTATTCCCATCATGTGCTTCTTTGTACCTGTGCCAGGGCACGTGATGTATTTATGTCTTTGTGTGTTTACAGTGTGTGTTAAAAATCGCAGGCTTGTGAGCCCAGCTCTTTTAAGAGTTCAGACAAAGTGCAGAATGCTTTCATGCTTCCCCAGAGATGTGAGAACGAGGTAAATATGTCTGTGTGTAAGATGGAGAAATTCCTCCAACATGGCAGCTCATCCCTCATACAGGTGTGTGTTCATGTGTGTAGACCACATGGTACGCTCATACTGCTGATGCTGCACATCTCAGCAGATGGCAGGACACACACACACACACACACACACACACACAAGCACACAATGCCATGTCAATGTCACATGCAGTAATTTTTCTTCAGGCATTTATATGAATTAGAGACGTGCCTGCCATAGATCAAGCACCTAATATTCCTCTCATTCACACAAATGTGCACACACATAAATACATAATGCACCTGCCGCCCCACCCCCATCCTAATACTATCTGTAAAACTCTTCATGGAGCCCTTTGATGAGGCAGAGTCGACCAAAATATCCTCAGACTTCAGCCCTAAAAGCTAAACCTGTCCTCACAAAGACTGGAACACAGGAGCACAAAATCAGCCGAGATGAAGAGACACAGTAAGAACCTGAAAAAGAGACGTCACGCTGATCTGATTTGTCTGCAGCAAAGATTTCAGGCCTAATCGCTTCATGTGCGCTGTGCGTCTTGTGATCATCCAGGCGGTGTCGGCCTGTCACAGACGCTGCACTACACAACGCCGTAATTACAGCCAGCAGATGTGATGGGCCAATTAACACATGCACACACATGCTGCTGGTGTGCCGACACCTGCTGGTTCTGCTAGAGCCTGTCAGAAGCCTCAGTGTGTGTGTGTGTCCATTTCTTCACTTAGATGTTTTTTCATAGTTAGAAAAATATATAAATCAGACCTGAAGGATGAACTTCAAACAGCTTCATTAGTGCTGAGAAAAGTAGAGGAGTGACAAAACTATTTATTTTTGGACTTTAATCAGCGCAACTCATAAATACGCACACAGTCGATGATGAAATACTGAGCAGAGTTACTGCAAAAAGCCGAGCTGGGGAGGACAGGCGACGTGTTTACTGATATTTTCACAAAAAAGTACACACACAGATACATTTGCCTTTGAAACTCCTCTCACCAAAACACCTCTGTTACGCTCGCTTCTGTGTTATTGTCTCTGTAAATAAGATGGCAAGGTGTGGTAGCATGGAAATGCACAGTGTGTAAGAAGATTAAGGTTTTCTGGGATTTTTGATTCTGGAAAATGAAATAGGTAGCTCATCATTAACTTTTATTTATGCTGTAAAGGTGATTTTGTCCTCCGTCCGGGTAACACCCACTCTGTACAAGTTCAGCTGTTATTCTTTTACAACAAACATTTGATTTAGTCTGCATTTTAAACCAGCTTTGAGTGAAAAAGTGCTCTTCAGTTGTTAAATGCAAGCAGGTGGAGCCATACCATACAAGACTGTGTCATCAGCATAGATATGGGCACTGTCAGAGGTGTGATATGGTGTTATTAGTGATGAGCAGGAGGGGACCCTGGACAGATCCCTGGGGGACGTCCAGTGTCTACAGTGGCATCACACTCTGCCTGTGTGTTTTAGACTTGCAGCTCCACAAATGTGTTACTTTATACAGCCATCATCATCATTGTGCACGTGGAGGCCTCATCACGGCCTCCTCTTCCATCTGTAATTTCCTCTCAGTGTATCGAGCCTCGCCTCGGGTCATTATTGACTCGCTCCCCCTCTGAGCTTCAGAGAAAGCAACAACGTGGAAAAATCCCATGAGCTCGACCTGTGGGTGTGTTGGAGCTGTTAGGTGTGAAGACCGGCGCTTCATTTCCTCCTCTTCCCTTCTGTCTGGGGACGGATGTCACAGCTTTAAAGCAGATTGCTCTTTTCCCTA